AATGGGGTATACCTCAACTTGAGAACCCACAAGTCCTTGTTTTTTGATACAGAAAAGAATTTCAGGTTCAGACACCGACAAGATAAGAGACAGATTTATTCAGCAAGGAGTGAATGAGCAGAGGTACACCTCATAGGTGAGGTTTGGGCATATGAAAGGGACGTAGCCAGTGGCTTTTACATCATAGATCCTTAGGTTGGGTAAATAGAACAAGTGTTTCTGTTATACATTCGTCTGAATAAGGGTTTTCTTTGTTCTGAGCATTTAATTATTTTTACTGCCACACTGTTTTGACATTATCAATTGGGCCCAGAGATATTGTGTCTTGGGTCAGCTTTTCTGTATCAGTGTCCTTGCAACATAGATATCTGCTTTCTGTAATTTCTAATGAATAGTTCCTACATCAAAGGAAGGGATGTTCCAGGCAGTTTTCTTAACATGTGCATTCTTCTTTGAGATAAGTTTGCATAGTTCCTGGGGGAGTAAGGAAAGAAGGGAGAATGCTGCTTTCTATTATATGTTGCAGCTCAGTGAGGAAGTGTGAAGCTTAAGGCAAAGAAAATAGTGTCTTTGTGATTTTAATCAAGTTATTCATTAATACAATGTTTATTTCTAAATTCCTGGCTTCTGGTTTGCATGCCTAAGGTCCCTAATCTATCCTGCTTCATAATGAGAGGAAAATATGAAAATAACCACAGCCCAACTGGGTGCATTCCAGCCAAATACATGTGAGATATATCATAGCAACATATCTACGGATTTCTGGCTGGACATGATGGTGCATGCCTGCAATCCAAACCACTCAGGAGGCTGAGGCAGGAAAATTGAAAGTTTGAAGCTAGCCTAGGCAACTTAGTAAGACCCTGTCTCAAAATAAAGCAAAGAGGATTGTGGGGAGAGAGATGGTAGGAACAATCTAACCAATATACAATAAGTCTATTTGGAATTGGCACAATGAATCCCCACATACAATGAATATATATTAATAAAATGAAAATAAAATAAATATTCAACCAAAAGTATAAAGTAGAAAAGGATTGGGGATGTTAACTAAGAAGTAGAGCACTTGCCTAGTATGTGCAAGGACCTGGATTCAATTCTCAGTATTACAAAATTGTCAATAAAAACAAATTTCTTCTGATGGGATACAAACCCAGTAACTCCAGAATTTGATTGAGGGATCTTAGGCAGTTAAGGTAAAATTACAAAAACAGTTTTATTTTTCTAATAGAGGTATCAGTAGTGCTTTTTCTATCGTTCCCTCACCCCATGCATATTTCCTATTGGGTATGGGCTCCTTTACATCTCAGTCTTGTTCTCTAACTTTTCAGTTGTTATTGCTTATTAAAATAGTCTCAGATGGTTGATTTGGTCCTATTTGTCTTAAACTGTCAAACTCACTTTTATTTTTGTGGTATTGGGGATTGAATCCAGGGCTTTGTGCTCACTAGATAAGCACTGTACCACTTGAGCTATAACTTCATTTCCCAAATCTCACTTTTGATTCAGAGGGCTCCTTGTCCCTCCAGTGTATGAAATATATGTGTAAGAGAGAGAGGTGTTATTTTGTCTAACATTCCCCCTTCTTCCCTGCGTCTGAACAGATGGTTTGAGAGTTTGGGGGATAAAAAGACATTTCTTTACCTGAATTTAGGGGGTGATTGCTGTTCTCATGTAATTAATAATCATTGGGGCTCAAGCTTGATTCCTATAGACACCAATGATTAGGGCTGTCACCCAAGCAGATCCCTTAGGTTTTGATGGCACTTTTAAAGAGTAGGCCATATGTTGCATGTGACTTTTAGGTTATGATCTTCATGTGGCATTCCAGCGGAACATAAATCTTTTTCCCAATTCTGTATTAGTCTCTAATAAACATGTATTTAAATAAATTTCTTCTCCCCTGCATTCAACGTTGGAGCCTATAGTTATGGTAGGATTTATTTTTCATTTCTCTTGAGAATTGAGAACTTTGAAAGGAAGATAATTCTGGCCCTGGCCATATCACACCATCTTTTCACAGTGCTCTTTCCAGGCTCCCACATCTAGGTAGCTTAAAAATTCCAGCAGTAAAGCAGATCCACCTAAAGAAAGAGAAGTGAACCATATCATCTTGTAGATATCCCTAATCTTTATACATAATTCTTTTAGGATCTTAACCAATCAAACACTGCCATTTACCACCATGACAGGAAACAAGAAGAAGGAGGTAGATTCTTTTCACAAACACTGCATTTCCTCAAATGTGAACTCTGTCTCTTTCCACAGTACTGTAGTACTCTTCCATTGCTTAAGGGGAAGAGTGTTCAAATCACTTTGCCTTTTCTCTGTCTTTTTAGAAACATGAATCCCAAACTGAAAACACAGAATTGGGTGTCCTTCTAAACTTGGCCCTGGAAAATTTTTAAAAATTTTGTTCTGAACAGATGTTATCTATCTTCAACTCCTCAGAAAACTCCAAAGTCAAGAAAAGATCTCAATTGACATCTCACACTATTTTAGTAAATATGACAGCATTTCCAGGACAATTTTCATCTATCTTTAAAACTTTTCTTTATTATAACCAATCCCCCATATAGCATAACATCTAATCTGGAAATATATACATATGTTTTTCTTTGGTGTTTAAAAAAAAAGATTTACCCAAGATGGGCCAAAAGGAAATTCACTTGCTAAACTTCATGTCCAATGATTATATCACAATGGCTTCTCTATTTGCAGGGGATTCTTTCTAGATAATTCTTATTTTTAATTAAAGCTTTTTCTATATTGCTCTAAATACAGTTCATGGGATGAAAAGCAACCACTTAGCTTCAGTATTGAGTGTATTCATTCAATAAATATTCACTACTCACCTACTTGGTACAAGGAACTCTGTAAGTCACTAAGTATACAAATTAGAATAAAACAGATGTGCTTTGGGCCCTCATGGTTTTGCAAGTGGATCTAACTAAGAAAAGAATCACACTCTGCTACTCTTCAAACCTTGTTAGAAACCATCCAATGGTGGTAAAATGAGTCAACTTTTATTGACAATTTACTAGGTAGGCTCTGTGGTAAATTCTGGATAGGTATAATTATATTCTTCAAATAATTCCTGTTTCACAGAGGAAGTATGGAGACCTTGATAAGGGTCTCATAGTTACACATCAGGTAAGCAGCAGGCTGGATTCAAACCCAGATCTGCCTGATACCACAGCTCATGCTTCTAATCTACATCTTTCCAGTCAATGGAATTAATACATGAGCCCTTACATAAGGCACTTCAGTCTAACTTAATGTAAGACAATTAAATGAAGCCTAATTTAGGAGTATACTTTTGTAACAAATAGCTGAGCCTCAGCCAATCCCAGCATCCTAGCATCAGTCAATAACAGGTGAGCAACCATTCAAACTATATTCAAAAAAGGCAAACACTAAGCTGTAACCAATCAAGCTGCCTCTGCACATCACCTCATTTTCTGTCCATAAAATGAAGTCTCACCACATTGAAGACCAGAGTTCGTTGAATCTGTTCTGGTTCTGCAGGCTGCTTGATTTGTGAATCATTCCTTGCTCAAATTAATCAATTTAATGTGTCTGCAGTTTTTATTTTTAACAATGAGGAGTTGTTAGCTGTCAGAAAGAATCCAGGAATCATTACCATTACCATTATTTGGTGTGATTTTTTAATTTTAACTTTTGGAGCTATATATTAATGCATGCATATACCGCTAAGATCATATATATATATATATATTTTATATGTATTATATACCTCCCAAACCTTAAACTGTATATGCAACAAATCTCTCTACTATTCCTTTCTTCAGTGTCACACCTAGTTTAGGAATGTAGGAGATTAGAGAGGAGTTTGGGGCCAAAACTGGTTATGTATACAACACTTTGGTTCCTTTATCATAACCAACAGCTATTAATCTTTTAATACCAATAACACTTTCCTAAAGATCTATTTTCTAGTGGTGATCATTTTTTAAAGTGATTTCAAGGTTGAAGAAAGGATCATCTGCACTCAGGATGAATTTTGGTCTCAAATTTAGTTGTTTCATCCATTCCCTGCTTATTTCTAATACCCTTTGAAACATTAACACCAAAAGGTTTGGGACTAATTTTTGCATATTATATACTTCTGAACTCATTGTAAGAAAATGTTTGTAGAGGTGTTTTGGAAGGTTTGAAAAAGAAAGTGGGGTGGGGGGACGGTGAAGACTCCTTTTCTCTGATCACTGTGGAAGTTTACGATCACATAAGATTATGTTAAATGGCCAAGATCTGATAATTGGACTTCTCCCTGAAGATTTACTTTAGATCATTTTCAAAACATTAGTTGTATTCCGGAAGAGCCCTCTTTTTTAAATAAAAATTTGAAACACACTAGTACAGTGTTTCAATAGTGATGTTGTTATGTACAGCCTAGAAAAAATATTTTCTGAGTGGTACACAGAGATCAACATAAACAATGATATATTTTTCATTCTGCAGGATGAAGCATTTCTTTCAAAAGTGTAAACACACATAATTTCTAATTTTCTGAATCATGCTGATTTAAAAGAAAAAAGAAATAAACGGAAATTTATACAGCTCACTCCACCTCAAGGTGTCTGTGGGTAGGGGGCCAGGAGAAACCTGGAGAGGAAGGAAGAGAGAAGGCCAAAAATGCCAAAGCCAAGACCTGAAGTGGGAGGGGGTGGTGAAGGATGATGCAGATAGACCCTCCCTTGTAACTAGAGAATGGCCAAGTCCAACCAGAAGATGGTGATGCCACTTGTGGGCCCTCAGATTGGAGAGGACCTTGCTGAGTGACGGCCAATGCGCACAGGGACACTGCGCACGGAAAGGCGGTTGGGGGACGTTACGTGCTTCTGCTTGCTGCAGGGGGCGGGGGGCCTCCTGCCGCACTGGCCGCCGTGGGTGCGGGGGAGGGGTGGGGGGGGCAGCTTGGCGGTGACGCGCGGCCCTCACGTGACCCGGAGCTGCAGAGCGACGCAGCCCTGGGTGCAGTCGTCACTCGCGTCTGGCTACCAGCTCCCCGCTGCCCTGCGCACGGCGGGCTGGCATCGGGCCCGGGGAAAGCGGAGCAGGTAAGGCCCCGGGGCCCGCGCGCCGCGGCCAGGCCGGCAGCAGCTGGCCGACCGGGCGGCGGGCGCAGGGAGGACAGTGCAGCGGTGCGCGCAGCCTTCTCTGCACCCCAGCATTCTCCCGCGCAAAGTAGTGACCCCTGGCCGGGGGTGGGTGCGGTGGTCGCTGGGGCTTCAGGGGAAGAGCAGCAGAGCAACTGAAAGGGAAGGGAAATCACCCTTTAGTCGCCTTAATAGAAACACTACGGGGGGCGGGGCGGGGCGGGGGGCGGCAGGGAAGGGCCGGGGGCGGGGAGCGGGGGTCTCCGGCACGCAGCTATCAGCTGTGGCGGCCCCCGCTTCCAACCCCGCCATCTGCAGATCTACCGGGCCGAGTGTCGCGGCGGCACCGAATCAGAAGGAGAGGCAAGGATAGGCCCAGGTTGGTGAGTAGGGCACCGCTGGGGGCGAGGGCAAGGGGTCGGGGACGTATGGAAAGACCAGTATGAGATCCCCCAACACCAATTCTCTCTTCAACCCCTCCCCATCTCTGTCCTCCATTTTGGTGCCTGCATAGCTCTGGGAAAGAATCCTGGGAAAGGAAAAATGGTGGGCTTTAGGGGAGGGAGGGAAAAAGAGAGAGCTGGAGGGAGGGAGGGGCTGGAACTGGAGGCCTCCTAGAGAGCGCAGGGAGTATCTAAGGTGAGAAAGTGAAAAATTAAAAACCTCTAATATCAGGACTCTGAATCCTGCTGGTCAGTGCACCAAGCATTCAGTTTCTCTCCTTGCCCTTTTCTTACTTGTGTTCAAAGAAAAACAACCAGAAAAAATATCTCATCATGGCAAATATCCGCCAGGAAAACGAAGAAATGGAGCAGCCTCTGCAGAATGGAGAGGAAGACCGCCCTTTGGGAGGAGGTGAAGGCCACCAACCTGCTGGAAACAACAGACGAGGACAGGCTCGCAGACTTGCCCCTAATTTTCGATGGGCCATACCGAATAGGCAGATCAATGATGGGATGGGTGGAGATGGAGATGACATGGAAATGTTCATGGAGGAGATGAGAGAAATTAGGAGAAAACTTAGGGAGTTGCAGTTGAGGAATTGTCTGCGTATTCTTATGGGCGAGCTGTCTAATCACCATGACCATCATGATGAATTTTGCCTTATGCCTTGACTTCCTGCCGATTTCCCATGAGATTAATACTGTGATTCCTGCTGTTTTCGTTTTCCTTGCATTTTCCTGATATGCCTTTTACTGATCTGTTGCTGTAAACGTTGTGTTATTTCCATGTGTCAAGTGGGTCTTGTGTTGCCAGCTTCTAATTGGAAATTGCCTTTGCACTCAGTGTAAGTTTCTGTCAACGGTAGAATTTCACCCATTTGCATGGAAAAAATGTAAAGTTAATAAAGCAATTAAAAAAGCAATCTATACATTTATTTGTCTCACTAAAATGTTTTATATATATATAGGTATATACAAACATATGAACCAAAAAAACCCCCTAAATACACCAGAGTTAATTTGGCACATATCTGTGTGGTAAGATGATGTGCGACTTTTTTCTCCTTTTATTATCTGAAAGTTTGAGAAGCAATGAAAACAATTTTTCAGTGACTTTATGATAGTGTAGGTACGTAATAATTACTGGATCAGCAAACTTAAAGAAGACTAAACCCTCCCTTTCTAAGATACATAATCCTTTAAAGAGTCCATTTTTTCTTTTGTGAAATAAGGAACAATGTTCATCTACAGGACAGTTTAGCTAAACAGATCAGATGTGGAACTGTGTTGACCTAGCTCCCATCCAACTCCCCAGAATTTAACAGGCCACAGGCCCCTGTCAGGTACTTGGGGAGAATTGGAGGGAGTTCTCATCCATGTTCACAAGTTCAAACAACAAAAATAAGTGGTTCTCTCCAAGTCATTCCTGTTACTTGCAATCCTTCTGTTCCTCTGATTACAGCCATGTTAGCTGGGCATACATTCCCTTCTGCTGAGTCTTTGTTTCTGTTCCTATTGATGACATTACTAGATCCTACAGCAATGATAAACCTCTCTGATTTATCTGGAGTCTCAAGAGAGCAAGATCTCCCCCTTTTACCTTTATGTAAGTGTAGAGAATGCCTTTATAACTTTAGAATTATATTTATCCAGAGTACAGTTCTTGAGATTACATTGGTTCTTATCAAAACAGACCTTTCTGGTTTTATTTTTACACCCCTATTGAAAGAACTTAGACATGAATGCACTGGGGCCCAGCTCAAGAGTTACATGTAGGTGTCTCATCCTGTCATGCCCAGTGCTGTGTTACTTCATACCTCTAAAACAGAAATAGGCTGAAAACTGTATTTTGCTTGTGTTCTATCCTTGGTGTGGATTTTCTCAGAGTCTACAGGCTTAGCCACTCTGAAAGTTTAGCAGACTTACACAGTTGTATAAATTACTTTGGGGGTGGGGTAGGGACACATTTTCCTTACAGCTCTTCATCTTGTCTACAACTGAAACATGAAATTGCTTTGTAAGCTTTAAAAACCTAAGTCAAATATTCGTGCCCTTCTCCAAACAATGATATTTTTCTTAATCACCCTGGGGCTCAGTTTCTAGTATAGTATCTGACATAATAGATGCTAAATTATTAATTATTTGATTGGTTAATTAACTGTAATGGAGGTACAAATCATGCTCAATACTGTTTCTAATTGACTCTTGAGTGGCTGAAGGCAAGTAACAACTTATCTGGAAACCAATACATTTAACTTCCAAAGAAATATGGCAAAGAAAGAATCTAATCTAAAATCCATAAATTTTTAAAACCTTATTTAATATTTAGGGGGACACAGATCCTTTATCTACATAGTAATTGCCTAGGAAAAAAGTAAAAAATATTAATACTTGGGTGTATTTCCCCTGTTCTCCATTCCTACTGTTAAAACCATCTGAATCAGGAATTACTGTTTTAACAGTTCCCCGAGTGATTTTCCCTCAACTGAGTTATAACATAGATACAGAGAAACACTGGCAGAAATTACGGCATTTTTACAAAGATTTTTGATCTGAATTTCCTTACTTGATTCAATAATGAATATACACTTCCAAAATATAACCTTTCTAAAATTGCGCTATATTAAATAATCAATGTATGTGTCTATATTTAAACCAGCACTGCCTTTTATGTTTCTAAATGCTCTATTAAATTAGCACATTATCACTAATTTATTATCAACAAATTTATAATTAAAAAATTATCAAGTAAGTCATAACTTATTTCTATGCAGGTCCATGCCCTGCCCTTTCACAACAAGCTGCCCTTGCTCAGCTTCTGGCAAGTGCCTTATCCAGTATATATTTAATAGCACTGTAATGCATTCAATTATTAGTTTATTAATTAAATCATTTCACAGATATAATTTATTTAAAATTATATACAGAACAATGTTTTTGTGTCTGTGAATGTTTTACATTTATACTCATGAGGTTTTTACAAAGAATATTTTAATATGTAATACTTTTTATAATTATGTAATACAGGTCATTATACATATTTGGATTATGCTGAAAATCAAAGAAAAATATAAATAAACCTATAATTTAATCATTAAAAAATACCACTTGTAATTTTTTTATCTGCATCCTATATTTAGTTCTAATAAAGCCAGGCTCTGAACCTCATATGAGAAATACTGCCTCTTTCAAACTCCCTGCTAAGGACACATATTTAGCTTACCATGTTTATTTTGTATTTTAAAAATCTTTACTGTTCACTCATCAATGATTAACTTTTAATTACCTGGCTGAAAAATCAGAAGCTGAAATGCAGTTTTCAAGCCATCACTTTTAGCAAGTTCACTCAGTTGGCAAATTCATGAACATAAAGTGAGTCCATTTATTTAATAGAACAGGGTAGAATTGTTCACTTATGAAAGTTAAAAATTGTCCCAGAAATAGAGAAAAGAATGGATTCCATAAATGAACTGGACAAAAATCCCATGTCTGTTTCCTGTCTCCTTTTCTGACATCACATGAATTATATAATAAACATACTGACCTTTTTTAGAAATAACTGTTTTTTAAATTTTCAATGAGATACCATCTTATAAGTTGCTCTTTCATGTATAACCAGTCAAAATACTTTAAAGTGATATAAATATCACCAAATAAGGCATCCCTATGAATCCAAAAATAATATTTACTTTTATTTTAAATTTTTACCTAGACATTATTTGAAAAGTTGTAGTTAGCATGTTCAAAAATTTACTCTTTCCCTTGTAGCTGATGGAAAATATTTTCTATTTAGTATAAATAATCTTTGCTGAATTTTATATAAAGATAAATCTTCAGCTGTATGTCCATTAAAAAAGAATCATTTCCACACAAATGAAAAAGAGCTTTATTGTGTTTCTGATTGTAAAATAATGGGTTTTTGTTTGTTTTCTTTTTGCTTTTTTTTCCTTTTTGGTGGTACTGGGGTTTGAACTCAGGGCCTTGCACTTGCTAGGCAAGTACTCTACCCACTGAGCCACATCCCCAGTCCAAAATAGTGGTTTTTGTTGCTGTTCTGGAAGAGGGGAAAATGTGTTAAGAAAATTTAAAACTCTTAGTGTTTTCTTTTTTTGTGGGGTAATGGCATTTAAACTCAGGGCCTCACACTTGCTAGGCAGGCACTCTACTGCTTGAACCACTCTGCCACCTCCGCTTATTTTTAAGATAGGGTCTCACTCTTTGTTAGGGCTAATTTGGACGCTGAGCTCCCTATTTATGCTTTCCACAGTAGCTGGGATGAGGGGTACGTGTACCACTGTACCCAGTCTTTTCTGTTGAGACACATCTTTGGAACCTTTTATCTTGATCCTCTCAATCTCTGCCTCCCAGGTAGTTAGGATTACAGATGTGAGCCACTGGCACTCCACTTTTTTTTTTAAAGACAGGATCTTGCTATGTAGCATAGGCTAGCTTCAAACTCCTGACCCCCCTGCTTCAGCCTCTCAAGTGCTGGGATCTTATTTCAATACCTTGTTTCCTTTCCTGAGATCAAAGGAGTATCAATTAAGTGTGTTTTTCAAATCTATTTTCCCCTAATTAATAAGTATTTTTAGTATTTAATTATGTTAATGCTTAATTTTTTAAAAGAAACAAACTAATGTGTCAATCATATTCAAAGACAGCAAAGAACTTGATGAAAACTTGTTGAAAAAGCAACAGCAAAA